CCGAATACTGAGTTGAAACTCAGAATTCCGAATACTGAGTTGAAACTCAGAATTCCGAATACTGAGTTTCAACTCAGAATTCCGAATACTGAGTTTCAACTCAGAATTCCGAATACTGAGTTTCAACTCAGAAGTCCGAATACTGAGTTGAAACTCAGAAGTCCGAATACTGAGTTGAAACTCAGAAGTCCGAATACTGAGTTGAAACTCAGAAGTCCGAATAGTGAGTTTGAGGACAGAATTCTGACTTTTTTCAGAATTCTGGTTCCACTATAACCAGTTATAGTGGCTCCATAGTAAAGTGGTTTACACATCTGCCTGTCAAGCAAAAGTTTGATCCTGGGAGAAAATACACAAAACTGTTTGGGGCCCATCAAATCAAATGTGTGTCGCTGCCTGAAACAACCTAAAGTAGATTACTGCAGTTTTTGCTGTGCTTGTGGGTTTCCTGCTTCTTCAGCAGTGAATGAGCTGCAGCCTCAGTACACACTCTGCTGAGAGTACCTACAATACCAAAAAGGGGAGAGAAAAAAATCACCTTTTCCAAATTTTCGTTATATTCAGCCATAATTACTCAGAGTATGTGTCAGAATATGTATACAGTGAGTCTGGAATATCATTAGCATACCGAACAGTGAATGGTTTGACAAAAGGCAATAAGGAAACGTTCTCATCCTTGTAAATGTACAATATGTCTTTGATGTCATCACAAATCATGAATTAGTGCTGTGACACTGTGTGTTACACTGAACATGACTTTGGATAATATTGTAGATCAAATCGTGGTGCCCTGCTCAGTGCTGGCACTGATGGGCAAACCATATAATGCTCACAGACAGGTTCATGTGAACTAATGAGCATGTCGCAGTGTTCAAAACACTACTTAGAGCATCACTTGTTTTATGTTCTGTGTGTGCAGATTGTGATCAGCTGCCCTGTGCTGCTGCTGGCTCTGAGGTTTACTGACCATCGTGGTTTTAGCTCGATGCATTCTACAGCAATAATGTTGCATGGTTCCTGTACACTGTGCCCCAATACTGCTAACGTCCCATTTTAGCGTGCACTTACTGTCACATACACCCTTTAAAGGAACATCACTCAGTGTGAAATAACCAGATAAAACAGTGTCCAGATCCCCTGCCTGATTAAAAAAATATAACACGAGCAGGGCATGCATGCTTCGACATGTAGGACTGATGGAAATTTGGCAGCATTTAACTATTTAACACTCAGACAGCCTGAGATCTGCCCACCACTCTCATGCAAACACACTGAGCCAGTAAAAGAATTAAAACCACAGCATCAATAATACATAATTCCCTTTATCTTCATCATCAGATACCAGAGGTTGTGCAAGAATAAATCATTTGAACAAGCATCAAATCAAATTTTACTGCGCATAAATAATCAAGAATTGCTAAATAATAATTTAGGTCCAAGTATTTTATAAATCTGCAGCTCTAATTTTAGGGGTTTTAACAAAAATGTGCAGCAATGTTATGGGAAAATGAGCATGGCAGCAAAAAGCTTGTTAAATAGAGGAAGGTCACATTTGCAGAGTATATGGACCATTAACATCCTCAAATACGATGAATGCAAGTGATGGTTTCCTAGATGTGCCCTGTGCTCTGCACTCACAGTGACTCAGCAGGTCTGACAGAGGATAGAAGAGCATCGCTGCTGCATCTCCGACGCTGCCATGGAAAATGCTACCATCCACATCCCGCATTCAGCAGTTCTGAACTGGCATATGTTGTTGCAGTGGTTGTGTTAGTGTTCTGGTGTGCTGCTGTGTCTTCTGAATAAGCTTTTCTGTTTTCACTGTTAAATCTGCCTTTGTGTTGTCTGACAACCTGATCAGGCTAGACTGAATTTTACGATGATGGAAAAGACATCACTGCTGTCCCACAGACACACACAGGACCATCTTTTACTTTAAACTGTGATGTAACTGTTTTAATTACCTGACAAAGAAAGGCCAGTAAATGTAATCAAAACAACAGAACCCAGAATGATGTAAAACTGAACGCATACTGATCCCAACCAAGCTTGACTTTTGACTTTGACAAACTACAGGCCATGTTGGTGAGTAATGCAAAATTAATGTAGCGAGTAGACAAATGATGTGATGCATGACTTTTTTTGAATGAGTACACAAACACTGCTCCCAAAACAACAGTAGGTGATCCTGTTCTTACACATGTGCTGCCTCTCAGGCACACATTTACCCAAAGAGCTCATCTCAGTGAAACTCAGAGAAGTGACACGCCCTCTCGTTTGTCTGACGCTGATGAAAAGAGTGACAACATAAATTGTGTTGAGGCGAAACTGTCACTGCTTTCAGGAAAATGAGCCACTGCCTGCTCGTTATGTCTTTACACGACTGGGAAAAACATCTGTAAGATAAAATGGATCGTGATCTCATCGTTATGTAAAGAGCTGTTGCACTAAAATGCTGGCTACAGAGGGCATTTTCTAACTGACCTTTTTATAATTATGGAGCTCGCTGTCAGTATTTTCAGTTTTCCTAATAGAAGAAGAACCTTTAAAAATCAAAATGTTGAATGCACATGGCAGTTTCTTTTTCTGAGCGAGATACTGAATCTCTGACTTACTCCGTCCATCCTCACTTATCGTCAGTTCAGAAAGCTGGTACATACATGTGGATTCAGAAAAAGGAGGCCTCAGATGAATGTGTTTGTGTGTAGTGTGAGCTAGAAAGGAAATGGTGAATGAGTGACTGGTTACTGTGCTTTTTCAGTCTTTTCCACATGGGAGGAGAGTGTGTGTCTTCCAGTTTTTACATCAAAAAAAACGCTGTCCACGTGTCCCTGTGTGTCTAAACATCCTGATGATTCAGCCTCAGTGCCACATTCCCTTATTTCGTTTCATCCTCGAGTCCTTGCAGACGTCACTTCTTGTCGCTGTTTTTAAATATTTGTTCGTAGGACGGTGGAGGATGGTTGCAGTACGACGGAGGTGGCGGATAGGAACCCATCATCATGTGGGTGGAGCCAGGCTGTGGCGGGTACGGCGGGTGTGTCATGGTAACCCCTGGGTCGCCTCCTGCCAATCCATTCACCCCGAAGCCCTGCATGCTCCCTGGCTGCTGGGAAACTGCAGGAAAAGAGAAAAGAAATGCTTTTCCTTTAAAATCTCAAGTTTAAAAATAGGCTGTTACGACAGCATTTGATTCATTCTGGTATTCATATGTTAAAGATCCAAAACCTTTTTCACATTTACTATAAACAGTAGAGCTCAGCCATCAAAGAACACAGTGCATCTATCCATGCCCCATAATCATGGTAAGAAAGTGGATTTTTTTTGTTTGAAATTCTTGAAAATTTGTTAAAAATCAAAACTAAAATATAACAGGTACATAAACTGGTCTCATGTTTATAGTAAAAGTCTTCAGTGTTGTTGTTATTCCTAAAACTCTCTGATAATCAGTAAGGATAGATTGCCAGTACCTCTGAATACCACTTTATTACTCACTGAGCAGAAATCCTCTCCATCGATCGTTTCTTCACTACCACAGTTACATCACTGATTCCTTATTTATCTTTCTGCCTTCAACCCAAAGCCTTAAACAAACAGGGTGTCAGAGAAGATTAGAACAAACAGGCTGAGATGCTGACTTTACTTTGGAGTTCATCAGAGAGAAAAACGAGTAAAAACGTCCTCCTCCGGGTCACCTTTTCAGAGAGTTTGACGCTGTGCTATTATTGGACTGTCCCACTTAAGTTTCTGCTTGCTTGACTTGACTAAAATTCCATCCATGTAAAATTATGACCAGAGTTTTAACAGCTGCTCTGCTCTCACCCAAAGTCTCATGTCTGAACTACATAATGGACATAATGTTGAGCATAATGAACAGACTTAGAAAAGTTTAGGGGACATAAATGGGACACGCCAGGGTTTGTTTCTGCAGTGGTTGGATTTGATGGACCAAAGTGATTTCATGGAGTGTTCCAGGAGAAATCTCCTTTCGATCACAGCATGATCTCTTAGAGATAGGGTGAGGAGTTCGGCCCTCCGGGAGGGCTCAGAGTAGAGCCGCTGCACCTCCACATCTAAAGGGGCCAGTTGAGGGGATTTGGGCATCTGACAAGGATGCCTCCATGGCGCCTCCTAGGTGAGGTGTTCCAGGCATGTGCCACCGGGAGGAGGCCCCGGAGCAGACCCAGGACACGCTGGAGAGATTATCTCTCTTAGCTGGCCTGGGAACGCCTTGGTGTTCCCCCAGATAAGCTGGAGGAGGTGGCTGGGGAGAGGGAGGTCCGGACTTCTCCGCTTAGGCTGCTGCCCCCTCGACCCGGTCCCGGATAAGCGTTAGAAGATGGACGCGATTGATCTTCTTTCGATGTAAAGGAGACCAAAAAGATGCTTCAAAGAGATGCGTAAGAGGCCAGCTAGCATGCATCCAGCAAGC